TGCGCGCCACGGTGAAGGAGAGCCTGTGAATAATTTTGGGGAAGGGCCGGAAGCTTGAGCTTTGGGCCTGGCCGCCTGGCTTTGGCAATCTGAACGTCATTCCCGATACAAGCTTATGAACTGCTTGCGAAACTACAGGTTGTCTCATCACTCTTGAAGGGGCAACAATTTTAACGAGTAAATTAAAAAAGGTCCCTCTAGTTAATTAATCCCTTATGTTTTAAAAAATAATCAATTGGTCCTTTTTATCTATTTTATGCTTTTTTCTAATTTTTTTATATTTTTAAAAATATTAAATAAATAAATAAATATTATAAAAAGATTGATGAAAAAATATATTTTTTGAAATAAAATAATATTAAATTAAAAACAATCAACATTGTTAAAAGGACTAAATAATTAATTTTTAAAACAAGGAAGACTGATTAATTTGTTTCTCAATACTAGAAGAACTAATTTATAATTTACGCCAATTTTAACATGCCAAATCTTTTTTTTTTTTTTTTGAATTATATTATCTTCGGAGAACTATATATAGATCCTCCCATCTGTAATCGGCTTATGTATTAATAGAGGGACCTATTTAGCCTCGTATTTTTTTAATTAAAAATACAAAAAAAAATATTGATAAGATTTTTAAAAATCAAGTGCTTAATTTTTTAAAGTAAAAGATAGTTTTAAAAAACATGGGTTTAGAGATATACTAGTTTTTATTTCAAAAAGCATGGAAAATGATGGTTTTTTTTTTAGATTGAACACTGATTATTTTATTTTAAAGGTAAAAATAACATTAAATTATAAAAAAACCAATTTTGTATATTTGACGTTAATATAAAATTTTTATACTAGTGCTTAAAAATATTATTTGATGTTTTGAATCTTGTGTTTCTTTTTAACTTATATTAGTCGTGACTTTTGATTTTAAGAATGAAAGTATTTTTGTGTTTTCAAGTAATTCATTTTAACTTCTTAATAAAAATCTTGAAATTATGTTATTAATAGTAATTCTAATTCAAACAACATAAGAATAAATTATTAAACAGTTGAGTGATTTTATTTACAGTACAACTCATCATTTTATTATCAAACAGTTTAATGTACTTGATCTTACAACAAAACGCAGCATAACACATGACAACAAGAGTTAGACCAATTTTTCTCCCATACATAATTCTCTTGGTATGGTGCATAAAGAGAGTTTATTTTTTAGGTTCTGATCATAAGATTTGAATGTTGTAACTCAACCTTTTAAGTTTTTATGTTGCAATCTTGTTGCTGAGATACCAATTTATTATAAAGAAATTTAGTTTTAATGTATGAAAATCGGTTCGATGATAACTCTCGTAAATAAAACCTAAAGGGAAAAAAAAAAAATCAACCCAAGTAAACTTATGGGTAACTAATAGAACTAACCAACTAAGAGAGAATTATGACTCATGCAATAAAATCAATGTGGTGGACTGTGTAGTGTGGAAACCAACGATTATTCATCTATAAGCATGAGAACTGTAGAAACAACTAACAGTCTCTTTCGTAGATTAGAAACCACCACTCAAGTGCTAACGTGAAAGAGAGGTAGTTTGTATGAATAAATCTGTCAAAAAAAAAAAAACATTTTAATTTAAAAAATTAAACTTTTTGATAAAACTCTAGTATATTATTTATATTATTTTCTACACAATTCATTAAATAAAAGTCTTTTAAAACTAAAATTTGTATAGATTCATTATTATCTATACTTAATCATTTAATTTTTAATAAGAAAAGATGAGAGTGATTAGATTCAAACTTGTGATCATTTAGCTATTAAGATTTTAATATCATTTTAAAGAATCATAAAAACCAAAAGATTAAACTCGTTGGATAATATTCTAAAATATGATTTATAATACTTTTTAACAATAGCAACAAGATTAATATTTTTTTATAAAACACTAAAAGACCGAAAAAAAAAATCATAAACTATTGAACTAGGTTCCTAGCAACTAGAAACAAAGGGATGGCTTGAATAAGTAGATAATTGATTCCATTGATTCCAATAAATGTTGAAAAAGAAAAAGGTCATTAGATCAAAATAATATATATATATATATATCATGACATGTCTACGGGTAATGTTTTTTCATATAAAAATATAGTGTGATATAGATGGAATGTTTTTAACCTAAAAATATGAAATAGTATATTTTCCTTTCTATTTTTCTATAAAAAAATGAAAGAAAAAAAGAAAGATAAAAAGTACTATGAATATAAAGGAGCTTTGGATTGTACTAGGATTCTAGGTTAAAAATAAAGGGTGGAGATTGATTAGGAGTGTAAAATTACAAATAAACCGGTTAATTAAATATTGTTTTGAAAAAGAGGAAGGATAAAAGTGATATTGCATAAATTCACTAATGACAAAACTTGTAAATATTTAAAATAAGAGGGCTGAGAAATATATGTAGAAGCATCTGTTTTATTAATTATTAATAACAAGAAAAAGATCCAAGTGTTGAAATGAAAAGTTAGTGGTTAGAAGGAGAGATGGACGGTGGAAATTGAGCCTGAATAGATGCTCAGTAAAACTGAGTGATAGTGAATATTAATTGTAGAGTATATATACAGTAAATGAATAGTTAATTCTTCAGGTTTTTTTTTTTTTTAATTTTGTATGCTGAACGTGACAAGACAAGTTGTACAATATTTGAGGGTGTACACATTAGAGATGACAAGACAAACCGTGTAGTGTTTGATGTATATATTGAATATTAATTATTGACTTGTTTAAAGTTGTGTCAAAAGTAAAATTCTTATCCCACTGTCAAGATGAAATATATTTGTCTGATATAAAGATCAAATTTATTATTTTTTAATTTTTCATATTATCCATTATCTATGTATCATTTTTTTTAAAATTTAGTTAAGCGAAATCTGACCAAGTTTAACTATATTTATTAAAATAAATAGTTAGACATAAGGGTAAAATTACAATTTTTTTAATTCAGGAACTAAATTGCATATACCAAAAATTAGAGAATCAATTTTCTTGAATAAGGACTAAAATATCATGAAAATTGAAAATGAAACACAGAGACTAAAATAAATTGTTGAAAAAATTCAGGAGCCAAAATGTATTTTTGTATTAACTTCATCCACTCCCAAGTACAGAACACAAGACAAATACACGTATTTATCCAACTGAGTTCAATCTCATTTATTATCCAATCCAGTTTAACGGACCAGACACTCCCTAACAATATCTCATTTCACCAACATAATATACTATACTGTTAGCTATCTCTAGCTAGGCGATCCAACTTTCCACATAGTTTTATGTTTTTGCGAAGACACGGCCCTGCTCATTCCTTGTTTCATTATTACTGGTCCACATACAGTCCAAGCTTTGACACCATACATTTGTCTTTGTTTTTTTACTCCTTAAATCAATTTTTGCATACCTATATGTATCAAGTTATATACAAAGATATAATGGACCGCCTAAAAATATGGCCCAACATAAATATTAGGATCCAAGTAAGTAAGACTTCAGCCCAATGGCGAAAGGGCCAGCAGACGAACTCCACCGGAGTATCTACGGCCAGGATGCCCCCGTGTCATGAACTAACGCCATACTGCACCAGACATTACACATGGCTAGAAACGACCTATCGTCTACATGTATTATGAGTAACTCCAACCACTAATATGGCAGACAGTCTCATTATGGGTCTCCTCAAAAACAAATTTCTTTACTGATAAACAATGAAAACGACTGCAGAAAGTTTTGCTCTCTCTCCCTCTCCCTCTCTCCCCCTAAGGAAAATATAACTTAATTACTGTATATCATCTCTATCTTCTAAAGTGATATATTCTCTGCAAACTTGCTAAAATACCATACACGATTTATATTAATAAACTTTTTAAAATTATATTCGTCTCTCTTCTTATTCTAATGTAGTCATTTTCTAATTTACTCATTGAATTTTTTATTTTTATTTTTTAAATTCAAGAGAAAGACTTTTACTATGCAGGTACTATCATTAAAAACATCCCTTGAGAAATTTCCATCATATGATAGGCAAGAGAAAAATTTATCCATTCATTCACTGATTGAGGACCTATGACCTTATCATATAGGAAATAGGATTATGTTAGCTTTATACATTAAGGTATTATAAGTTTCTGTCCAACTTCAAAGCTCCTATTTTTAAGGTTATATATATATATATATATCGTTAAATAAAACAACAGGATTAGAATAATAGATATACAGTACAGGTGAGTCAACAGTCGGTGCATTGATGCATTGGATCCATTATGATATGGAGTCAAATAATTTATTGACGTCCTCGCAAAGATGAAGCAAACGCTAGGAATTTATTCTCATCCTCCAAAATAATAAAATGTTTAAATTAAAGACCAGTTCCTGACATTTTGTAGTACATAATCATTAATCAACATGCAAACCTAATAAATAATGTTAAAAAGAAGAAGAAGAGAGAAAATACAATAATGACATTGGAACTAAATTCAAACAGTCTCGTATTTTTCTGCTATCATGCCAAAGAAATGAAAGTGAATCTCACATTGGAGGAACAACTTCCGTCCATTAGAACATTACTAAATTATAAATTAATCCCTCTAGTTTTGAGAAAAAAATTAATTAATTAATCATTATATTTTTAATTTTTCTTGTAACTTCATCCTTTTTACTTTTTTTAAAAAAATTATTTTACTTTTTTGTTTAAGGTAAAAAAAAACATAAAAAATATGACATTTTATGAATTAAAATAATATTAAATTAAACATAGTTAATATTGTCAATAAACTAAACGATTAGTTTTTGAATTATTTTTAAAAAATAGAGGGATCAATTTATAATTTACGCATTAGAAAATGCAGATATCTCCGACATAACATTTATAAGCATCCAATCCCTTAAGTTTTAGATCGTAAACTTCTTTAAAAACAAATCGTCGCTTGTCCTTCAGTGCACCACTTTCAACCATTTTTATATAATGCTCCCAATAAGTTTCACGAGCCAACTTGGAACTTTTGGAAGTTTCAGTGATTCAAAATTGTCCCAGAACCAAGGTTAGCAAATACTTTTCTATTTTTCTTTTCTTTTCTTTCTTTCTTTGATAATGCACTTGGCGGCACTTCTTTAGCATTGTTCTTGCCGTGCTTTTACAGCAATTCATAGTTCTGTTTTTATTTTTGGAAAGATCTAGGCATCCAGTATTGTTTATTGTGTTACATTTTTTTTTAGCTTTCTCCAGAAATAGAAAAGCAAATGATTTAGACTGACATTTCTCTCCACTGTGCAGCACGTTTCTGCGAAAGCTTTTTGGCCTGTGTGGAAAATGAAGATACTAGCAGAAGCTTGGACCTTGCTGTTTTTATGCGTTTTTCTGGGTTCAGGTCTTTCTCTCTCACTCACTCACTCGATGCATTAAAACACGGGCTTATATCTCTATATTTGCTTACTAATCTTGGAGTTTTTTGGTATGAAATAATAAATTGATTAATTCTTACCACCAACTTGCCCACTGACTGATGCAGAACGTAGGATATGTCATGCTTTCTCCTTCAATAATTATTCTGCTAAGACAAAGGTACTCAGGAACGTCTTTTTCACTGTCTCGACTTCTTTGCAAATTAGCCAACTAAATAAAAGGCCAAGGCTAGCGATAGAAATTCAAACTTACATTTTTCTAGTGCCAACCAGTGTTTGATAGAGCCCAAGACAGCTCAACATGGAGGAGGGATAATAGCTAATCCAGATTTTACTCATGGCTTGGAGGGGTGGACTGTATATGGACAAGGGGCAACGAAAGAAGAAATATCGAAGAATGGAAACAGATTTATTGTTGCATGTAACAGAACACAATCACTAGATAGTATCTCCCAAAAAGTCCAATTAGAGGGGGGACATATCTACAGCTTCTCTGGTAAGTTTTCCAAGTTTTCTCATGTGGCAAGTTTTACTAATTATCTATTTCAGAATTTTTAAAAGAAAAGTTCCCATTGAAATTTTAGCATGGATTCAAATCAACAAAGGAAGTGAAAGGGTAGCTGTTGTTTTCAAAATTCCTCATACTGAACTTGTTATCGGTGGGAGAGTTCTGGCAAGGAATGGATGCTGGTCTTTGCTAAAAGGTGGTATATTTGCAAATTTTACAAGCCATGCTGATATTCTATTTGAGGTAGAATACACGAAGAACATTCTAGTTTCCTAACAGTCAAGGGCATTGAAATCTAATTCATTGCTCTGTTCATATTGAATTCAGTGATATGCTTGTTTTCCCCTCATTGTAGAGCAACAATACAGCAACTGAAATATGGGTGGACAGTGTATCATTGCAACCATTCACCTTGGAGCAATGGAGAGCCCAACAAGACAAGAGGATTGATAAGGTAAGTCAAATCTAATTGTATTGCTTGTGTATAGCATAGCCTCAACAATCTTAGACGAGAAACCATTTACAGAAAACCACACGAGCGAAAATCTACATCAAGATGAACAAAACACACGACTTTCCATGGAGAAAACATATCCATGTTGTTTTTTAGTAAAATCTACAGCAAGATCTAATCCCAAATAAAATTTGAACCAGCAGGAACGGAAGAGCAAGGTGACGTTCAAGTTAACTTATGGCAACGGAACTGCAATGGATGGTGTGATTGTTTCCATTAAACAAACCAGGCCAGAGTTTCCATTTGGATGTGGCATGAACTTCCATATTATTGACAGCACAGATTACCAAAACTGGTTTGCTTCAAGATTCAAGTATACTACTTTCACCAATCAAATGAAGTGGTACAGCAACGAGCCAAAACAGGGACAAGAAAACTATACTGTTTCAGATACTATGGTAAGGTTTGCCCAGAAAAATGGCATTTCTATCAGAGGTCACAACATTTTATGGGATGATCCAAAGTACCAGCCAGAGTGGGTTAAAAATCTTACATCAGATGAATTAAGAAAAGCTGCAGCAAAAAGAGTAAATTCGGTGGTTTCAAGATACTCAGGGCAACTAATTGCGTGGGATGTAATGAACGAAAATCTGCATTTCAGCTTCTTTGAGGATAAACTTGGCAAAAATGCTTCTGCCAAGTACTTCAAAAGAGCTTATGAGCTCGACCCCAAGACAACAATGTTCTTGAACGAATTTAATACCATCGAATATAGCAACGATGAAGATGTAGACACAATCAATTACATGAAGAAACTAGATGAAATTTCATCATATCCTGGAAACCAAGGAATTTTAGCAGGCATTGGTTTAGAAGGCCATTTCGGCATTGGCCAACCAAACCTTGCTTACATGAGATCTGTCTTGGACATTCTAAGTTCAACAGGATTGCCTATATGGCTTACTGAAGTGGATGTCGTCAAAGAAGCAAATCAGGTATGATAATTCCTTTTCAAATGAAAACAAAAATAATCCCAAATACATTCTACTAATGTTAGTCACAAATTCCAAGTTTCCATCTAGCCTAATGCTAATAACTTTTTTTTTGGTGGACAGGCAGAGTACCTGGAGCAGATACTAAGGGAAGGTTATTGCCATCCTGCTGTTAAAGGGATCATAATGTTTGCTGGACCAGCAACAGCCGGATTCAACGCTACAACCTTAGTAGACAAGAACTTCAAAAATACCCCATCAGGTGATGTTGTGGACAAACTGATTGAAGAATGGAGAACTAAACCTACAGAAACTAAAGCAGATGGTGAGGGATCCTTCAAAATGTCGCTGTTTCATGGAGATTACAACATAACTATAAAAAACCCTGTGACAAATTGCTCAACTACTTTGAGTTACACGGTGACAAAAGGCACTACTTATATTCATATTAATGCATGAATTCTTTCTCTCAAACACATAACAAATAAAATTGCCCTTTTGTGATTTTAAGTTTAATGACATTGGTCATTAAAGTTCTGATTTTGGTTAACTATTCAGTTCTATTTGTTACAATTCTGTTTTTGGCTCCGGATTGCTACCACCTTAACTAGTAGAGCTATTCCTGTTTTTGTTTGTGCATTAACACCTATCCCTCAAAAGCTCAAGAACGTTGCTCAACAAAATGTGTGTTCCAATAAAAAAAACAAATTTATTGGGTTTTTAGATTATTAATAGAAGAACCCAAAACATAGAAATTATCAAATGAAGTAGGAAAGTAAAGGGTACTAACAAAACTAACCAAATAGCTTCAATCTTTAAAGTATATTCAAGTGATTCAAAGCCTTCTTTAATGGCTTCAAAGGACACACAGTGGCCCTGAACCATGCACCATTCTCTTTTCAACTTCTTCACCTACAAAACCATTCAAGAACTGCATAATATATAAACGAATATGCATTGGAGAGGAGGAGGAGAAGGAGGAACAGTAGCAAAATAGAGAGCGCTTAATTGGCGTTGTGGAATATATGCATTCTATGTAAACGACGAGTCATCGACTAATTATCTGAACTTTTCAATGCGTCTGTCAACTACCGGCCTATGAGTCTGTAAACGATTGATTGTGGCGTAAACAGAGCCGCATCGTAAGGCGTAAATTATAAATTAGTCCCTCTATGTTCTTAAAACGAATTAAATAGTTTTTTAAGTTTTAAAAATAATTAAATAGTCTAGTTTCAAAAAATAATTAATTGGTCCCTTTATTTATTTTTATTTTTTATTTTTTAAAAAGAAAAATGTAAAAAAATATAAAAAGATTGATGAAAAAATGATTTTTCAAAATAAATTAATATTAAATTAATCGCGATCAATATTGATTAAGGAACTAAATAATTAATTTTTAAAATAAAAATATTAAATAATTCATTTCTTGAAAATAGGAAGTCTAATTTGTAATTTACTCAGTTGTGGGAGATAATTATAACTTAGTTACTACAGTCTATTGAAATTAATAAATTAATCCTTGTAGAATAAACAATTATTAAATAATCTTTTGATTAAAATTGACATTAACCATCTTTAGTCCGATAGTTTTTTTTCTTTTCAAAATCATCTTCTTCTAATTAGATTTTTCATCTTATATGTTTTTCCTTTCTTTTTTTCTATTTCTTAAAAAAAATAATTCAAAAAATAATATAACATTGACAAAAATGATTAAGTTGTAGCCGGATTTAAGAATGTAAATGATTAAATATATAATTTTTAAAATCATGAGAACTAATTAGTTGTTTTTCTTAAACTATAGAGACTAAGTTATAGTTTTCGTAATTTTGACGATTAAAAAAAAACAAAAACGAAAACAAAATAGGGGATTGGCTATAGCAGACATTGAATTGATTTAAAAGGAAAAAGAAAAAAAAGAGGGACCGGGCAACCCAAGATTAAAAATCTTGCTCATGTCAAAATTGGGGCAGGATTAATTCAATTCAGGACGGCGAGGGCTAGCCCCTGGTGTAGCATTATTATTATTATTATTATTGATATCCAATGGTCATGGTATTTTTCGGTTCATTTTTTATTTAATGATCAAGCTTTTTTTAATCAAGTTTTTGGAAAATCAATGAAATTATGTATTTTGTTTTTGAGAAAAATTATGCATATTCCTTGCTATACATTCATGAGAAAATTCTTTATCATGGCCTTTACAAATTAGAATTATTGGTATTGTTCTCATTAACAATGTATGACTATTTACCATAAACAAACAACCTATGATTTTTATTTTTTCAATATTAACAATATGTGATTGTTATCATACATATGATCGCGACACCAACAAAAACAAAACTAGTTTTTTAAAAAAGAAATTATTATTACTTTTTTAAAAAAACTGAAAATGAACTAGGTTGGAACCCGTTTCATAAATATACTGTTCAGAATATATTACCCTACCCTTGTCTACATTTTTTTTTTCAGGTCTTTCCATTCTTTTTCTATCTAATTTCAATTTTTTTTCAATGAGGATTTTTTTTTGTCAATACATTAATAATTAATTAACAAAAAAACTAAAATAAAACGATTATTTACTATTCACCAATACTATTTGAAATATTATTAATTCGGACTTATTGACACTATTTATCAAAACTCATCTACATTATTCCTTTCACTAGTATTTTTGTAATTTTTAAACTTCCTAAAAATATTTATTATAAAAGTTTTCGTGACATTACTTTTTACTTTTTAAAACAATAACTTTTTAGTCCGTAAATTTTTTTATTTAATTTTGGTCCTCTTTTTTTTTATTTTGATCATTTTGGTCCTTGCTTTTTTTTTATCTGATTTTTTTATTAAAAATTTTAAGGTAAAATTTTTAGAAAAAAATTTACAAAATAAGTTTTTAACTAAGAATCCATTGATTTTGACATTTTTTCTTACATTATTATAAATATTTTAGTTAAGGATATGGATAGAGATAAATAAATAATATTTTTTTAATCAAAAATTTATGAAAAATATAAATAATAATCAGTCAAATAAAAATTTTTGATTAAAAATTATAAAATTGAATGAATTTTTATTCATTTTTTATTTGATATATTTTAATAGACGTACAATATAACTTAGAGCATCAAATTAAAATAATTTTTTAAAAATAATTTTATATGTTTTGTCCGACTCGCGATATAACTCGTGTAGAAAAACTAGTAAGTAAACTAAAACTAAATGTGATTTTATGATAGCTAAGCCTTTGGTTTTATTTATTTATTTATTTTTTATTTTTTTGTTTTGGATTCTGTTTTGTGATCTTACTTTATTTTGATCATTAGAATTTGTCATGTGTGATTTTTTCTAACATGCTGCATTTTTTTTTTTTTTCAGTCTTTATATTATATTTTTATTTCGGTCATTTAAAGTTTAAAATTATTTTTATTGTGTTAATTTTTATTGTTGTATGTTAGTTTTTCTTAATATATTTTATTGAACTATTAAAAATAGACTCTTTGATTTGATTTTAATACATTATTAGAGTAAATTAACATGTCTATTTATTTGAATAATTTTTTTTTGTCATGCGAATAGATAATCTATTTTTTATAGAGAAATTTGTTATATTTTAGTAGTTTAAGTTTTTTTATATATAAATTTTGATATCAAATATTCATCTAAATATAGTTTCACAAGCTTTTTATTGGCTTTTGTGATGTTTTTATTTTTCCATTTTGATCTTCCTTTTTTTTTTTTTGTGATATTAGCTTTATTTTGGTTATTGAAGTTTTGTAATGTGAGATTTTTGTCATGCATGCTGCAAAGTTTTTTTTATCTTTTCATTTAGGTCCTTATTATACTTTCATTTCGATCCTTCAAACTTTAAAATTTTTTTCATTTTGCACAATTTTATTGTTATGATTTATTTTTTCTTAATTTTTTTTATTGAATTGTTGAAAATAGGCTCTTTGATTTAATTTTAATAAATTATTGGAATAAATTAGCATGTCTATATGTTTATATAATTTTTCTTATTTTGTAAATTAGTGTAATAATTACAATGTCCTTACACTATCGAGTAAATTAGCAAAAAATTCCTTTTTCTTATTCAATCTAGAAAAATATAATTTGCGTAATAATTTACTCCAATATACAAAAAAATAAAAAAAATATTGAATTAAATGCCTTTTTATTGTTGCCATCGTTTTGTCATACTTTTCTTATTATTTATTTGAAAAAAAATTCAATCTAAGATTCTTAATTTTTCATTTTTAAAAAGCATATTTATCTAAGACTTTTAAAATAATTTATTTCTCTATTTTTTAAACCGATTTATTACAATGATTACATAGATTATTAGAACTCTTTATTTTATGTAGCTAAACACATGAGAAGATCGTGTAGCTCACATCGTGGCAATGCGCGACATACATGATAATATCTCTTTGATTTTGAACGGACACCACATAGACAATTAACTGAGGTGCTCTTATGTTTTGTTTTGTTTTATGCATATCGAGACTTTATACAATTTGAATTTTTTTTTATTGATATCTTAAATTATTTTTTGTTCAATTTAAGAGTTTTACTCTTATGTTGTTAGTGTTTTAAATCTTAACGTGTCACATAAGCACGCATGGTAAGCTCTAACTAATGAAAGCTTACCACACAATTTTTTTTTATTTTTATTAAAACTCAATTTGGACCCATCGTGACATGTGGTAAACTGTTTAGCAACCGTAGTTAGCTAAAACTTGCCACATGTGCTTATATGGTACATTAGGGTTTAAAACAACAATAAAATAAGAATAGGACTTTTAAATTGGATTAAAAAAAATTAAGATCTCGATCAACAAAATCCGAATTATAAGGGTCTTGATACGAGTAAAACCTTTTTTTGTCTAGCAAACGTGAAAATGGTTCTTTGGACACTCGTTTGTCTTTGGAAAATATGTCTTTTTTGTCGTTAAAATGTGTCAATAAGTAACTGGATAATGATGAAAGTAAATGAGTGACGCATGAAATATGTGTCATATGAACAATTTGTTGAGAATTTAATCTCATTATGTATAAATTAGATTTTGTGAAAAAATAATTAAACCAAACACACAAAAAAAAAAAAAGTAGAAAATAAATCAATTACAATAGCACAATCATAAAAATATCAATTTTACATTGAAAATTCTCTCTATTATAGAAGAAAAAACTACGGGACCAATGTTGAAATAATTCACTATAATCAAGAAAGTAATACAATCACTCAAGTTTCGAGAAGCAAAAATATTGATAGTAATATAATTTATATCTCTAGCTAAATCCTTCTCATGATAAAAACTTAAAATTTGCGAAATCTTCAAGTTTCTATAAAACCCAATATTGTTTGAGATCTCCGAGCTATCTCGCTAGTTTTGCAATATTCATTTTCCTATTTAACTTCAATTATTTTCCTAATTAATTTTTTAATAGATTATGCAAAGGTCATTTATGGTATGTACTTATAAGGTGTACCTAACACAATTTTGACAAGAACATAATCGGTTCACCTTTTCTCTTCTTGGATATAATTCAGATCTTACACATCAAATTTACTGATCACGGAGTGAGAAATTTTATAATAATCAAGAGATAACTAGAAACATATACAGTAATTACTTTACGAATCCACTTGGAAGAGATAGACACACAAAAAAAAAAAAAAAAGAGAAAAACATAAGAGAGAAAAAAAAAAAATTGAGAGAATATGAAAATCTTTTTATAACTTTTGATGGGTTTGTATGTAATTTTATGTGTCTATTTCTCTCCTTCAAATGAATTCATAGAGTAAATACTACACATACCATTAGTTACTTCTTGAAAATTATAAAATTTTCCATCACGGAGTTATTAATTTGGCATAATATGAAAGGAATTAGCCGACCAATGTTTTGGACATCATTAAATATAAATACTCCTGCGGAAAATTGATTTTCTTACTCCATATTTGGAAGTTGTACGTGAGATATTTGCTCTGAAATCTCAATTCACTATCTGTATATTTTTGTCTGTCTTGCTTCGATTTGAAATTAAAAGGGGTAAATCTACCATACTCTTATTCATAGAGTCCGTTTTCTTGTTTGTTTGGAGAACTCTATTTATTGAGTCTACAACAGTTCTCTGCATCTACACCACTCCCTTTTCTCTCTTGCTGAAAGGTACGTTGCACTTATGAAATCATGTACTCTTAATGAGAGATCATTCTCATTTTTTATATGGAATTGTGTTCTAATTTCAATACCAGTATTCTTCTTGTACATTAGCCATCTTTTTCTGAGGGGCTCTGGATTTTTTTTTTCCGTCTGTTAGTCTCATATGTAATTTCTGTTCATTGTTTTACTCTGTGGATAATATGTTATAAAATGAATATTTCAGGTAAGTCCTGTTGATGCTGTGAGAAGATGAAGATACTTGCAGAAGTTTGCATGTTCTTATGCCTTCTGTTACATTCAGGTACCTTTGTGACCATTGAATCTTATTAGCATGCATTTGCATGAAGAAAACATGAAATTTCGGTTGACGGAATTTTGGATTTTGATTTGAGTTAAAAGAAGAAGAAGAAGAAGAAGAAGAAGATATTTTACTGTTTAATAAAAAAAGAAGAAGAAAATATGACATTTGTGAAGTTATTTAAGTAAAAAGTATTGCAGTACAATATAATATTTTAAGATTATGGATGATATGATTTTTGGATTTTGATTTGAGTTAGATTTTCGCATAGGGATGGCAGTGGGGCGGGTTGGGGACGGGATAGTAATCTTCGTCCTCACCCCGCTCCAAAACATTTCACCTCATCCTCGTCCGGTGTCCTTTTTCAAAGTGAAAATTTAAGTATCATCTTGGCTTCAAACAGAATGAGGCTCAGTCAAATTGTCATTTCTAAAGATCAAATGACGAGACGAGGGTGGAGATAGCCATCTTCATCTCTGCCTCAAATGGGATAGGGTGGGGCTAGGCTTCGACTGGGAGGGGTAAATTGCCATCCTCGGCTTTCGCTTTTGATTAAAAGAAAAGTTACAAATTTTTTTGGTTGGGAATAACTTTTGATCTAAATTAATCAAGATTGGCTACAAATTGAGTTTTAATTTTTATTTAATCAAAAGTTAATTTTTTTTTAATCTTTGACGATAATTCTAACTTATGCTATCTTTTTTTTAAAAAAAAAAATTTTAGGTCATTGTTCATAAACGACGTTTTTGTTATGTGCTATTGGGTCTTTTCAAGATGTGAAGTTAATTTAACTAGTGAGAATTTTTCACATACTAATAATTAGGTATTTAAACTTTTTCACAACCGATGTGAAATAACCCGCTAATAATTTTTAAATTAACTCGATTTTTTATAAGTTATCTATAAAAAATAATTCTTCAATAATAGCTCAAAGTCAAAAATTATAATTCAAAAATCGTGACAAACGGATTCTAATAAATTCAATTGTGATAAATACTTTTATTTATAACTAATAATGTGCTCTTTTAACTGATGCAGGGTTTTTGATTCATGCTTTCTCCTATGAATATTCTGCAACAACAGAGGCAAGATTAAATTTCTCTCTTTACAAACAAAAGAAATCGTTATAAATGTTGCTTTTTCTAACAGAAACAAGCCGATGTTGGAACAACAATTTGCACGCCTTTAGAAATTGCAACTTATCTTCGGCCTTTCAGTGGTGTACTACATACGAAACTAAGTAGAAGTTAATTTTAGCATCAGTAACCCATTGCTTTTCATTCTCTTATATGTGCAATGGTTAGCATCGGCTTCGTTTCTGGATTTCAAATCCAAGTTATAAATGTAATTAATTCTTACTGGAATTTCTATACATAGGTCTGAATGGCAGGCAATCTGCTGCAAGTTCACAGGGACAACAGAATTGCAATTTTCCGTAGGCATATGCTTGTTTTCAATGCATTACTTGGAATGTTTCACAACCTATGATGCATATAGAATTGAGACCACCCTCTGACTGAAAAGTTTGTCATGCAGTGCCTGGCCAGGCCCCAGTCTAACTATGGAGTAGGCATATCAGTTAATCCGGAATTTAGGCATGGCATTGAAGGGTGGAATGTGTTTGGAAACGGAGCAATGAGAGAAGGGAGGTCAAAGGAAGGAAATATGTTCATTGTAGCATACAATAGATCAAAGCCATCAGACAGTATCTCGCAAAAGGTTCAATTCCAGAAAAGAAAGCTGTATAGTTTTTCTGGTATATATCTTTCCTAAACCTGTCAAGTTCTACAGAATTTCTGTTTACATTACATGTCACCATTGCTTCAGTCTTGCAAAAATTAACTGAACTCAACTATTCAGCTTGGGTTCAAATCAGTGAAGGAATTGAGGCTGTAGATGTAGTGTTTAAAACTACCCATGGTGAATGGATACACGGTGGCAGTGTTATAGCTAAGCATGGATGCTGGTCTTTGCTAAAAGGTGGCACGGTTGCACATCTTTCCGGCCCAGTTGAGATTTTCTTCGAGGTATTGTGCTTAGTACATCTTATCTATGTCAATTTCTTATTAAAGATCATCGAAATTTAATTGGAATGCAGGAGTCTTAGGAGTGGATTTTAATTGGATCCTATTGGAAATACAGTACTAAACGGATGCTTCTCTTTTGTCAATATAGTGCAACAATACGAAAGTGGAGATATGGATAGACAATGTCTCATTCCAACCGTTCACAATGCAACAATGGAGATTTCAGCAGGACAAAAGCATCGAGAAGGTAAATGAAATGAAGAATGGACTACTAGCCGAGACTAGCATTATATTTAACAGTCTTTATCTAACATGAAAGATCTCAGATCAGTTTCCCTTTGTCTAATTGGAAAACTATAGTTTGTTTCTCAGCAGTCACATTAATATTTAATCAAGCATTTTCTATACAGTCGAAAAATCTGTATTGGCATCCAATAAATTGCATCTATAACATTCGAGTTCAAATTTGGAATCTGCAGGTGCGCAAAAGCAAGGTTAGGTTCCAGGTAACTTATGCCAATGGAACTTCATTGGGAGGTGCTGCAGTCTCTATCAAGCAAACCAAGTCAGGCTTCCCATTTGGATGTGGTATGAATCATTATATCCTCACAAGCAACGCTTACCAGAAGTGGTTTGCTTCAAGATTCAAGTTCACCACATTTACCAATGAAATGAAGTGGTACAGCACCGAGAAGGTAAAAGGTCAAGAAAATTATACAGTTGCAGATGCCATGCTAAGCTTTGCCAAAAAGAATGGCATTGCTGTAAGAGGCCACAACATCCTCTGGGATAATCCCAAGATGCAGCCCCAATGGGTCAAAAACCTTTCTCCCAGTGAACTAAGAATAGCAGCGACAAAAAGAATGGATTCAGTCGTTCGAAGATACTCAGGGCAACTGATTGCGTGGGATGTTATGAATGAGAATCTGCATTTCAGTTTCTACGAGGACAAGCTTGGTAAAAATGCTTCTTCAGAATACTACTTGAGAGCTTACCAACTTGAGCCAAAGACGACAATGTTCTTAAATGAATATAATACCATTGAATACAGTAAAGATATACGGGCAAGTGCAGTCAACTATGTGAAGAAAATTAAGGAGATTCTGTCATATCCTGGAATGAAAGGTATGTTGACAGGAATAGGAGTACAAGGCCATTTTGGTCCTGGACAGCCAAACCTTGTTTACATGAGATCTGCATTGGACATTCTAGGATCAACAGGATTGCCTATATGGCTTACAGAAGTGGATGTCCAAAAAGGCCCTAATCAGGTACGGCATAGTTTTTTAAGCAAATATCTGAGCTTCATTAATTAGCCATTCTGTATGTATGTTCCAATGCTAAATATACTGACAGATAGACTATCTATAAAGTTTTCTTGGATCCTATGCTTTGATGGGACCAGCCTTTTTTTAAGCGTAAAGATTGTTACCTTTGTTCCTCGACAGGCACGGTACTTTGAGAGCATACTAAGGGAAGGTTATTCTCATCCTGCTGTTAAAGGGATTATCATTTTTGCCGGTCCAGAAGTAGCTGGTTTCAATACTACAACCCTGGCAGACAGAGATTTTAAGAATACTCCATCAGGGGATGTTGTTGATAAGCTGATTGCGGAGTGGAAAACTAGGGCTCTGAAAGTCACAGCAGATAGTAGTGGACTCGCAGAAGTTTCGCTATTTCATGGTGATTATAATCTGAGTGTCAAAAACCCAGTGACCAATTTGTTAACTAGATTAAGCTTTAAGGTAAAAGAAGACAAATTGCAAGAAACTATACATGTTCATGTCACTGATTGAGTCATCCTCCATCTATGATACTGAATTTTGTACTCCAATAAATTGTACTTCTTAAGGGAGACAAGTATTTCTGCTTATGCAATATCATCATGTAGTGGCAAAAAAAGCAATCTAACTACCACAATAATAGAGGCTTGGCCCTACCTTTGATCATTTCTTTTTCCTTTTCCTTTGGAGCCCATTTAGATTACCAGGGCGCAGGGTCCTGAAAATGTGAGTTGAAGTAAAATTCCTGCATTTTACGACAGGTAGTTTACCATTTAGTGACAAGTAGTTCTCTAATTTGTATAGTTGGACTTGGACAATATGTTGCTCGCCCGTGGCCCATGCATGAAAAACCGTTCATCAATTAGTTGCTAGAAATCCGCACAGGGCACATTTGATAGTTTTGGATGGCATGTCGTCTGCACGTAAGCGAAAAAGAGCCAACATGTTATGAGTCTTGCCTCTTTGAGAACACAAATCATGCTATGAAACAGCTCAATTGCTGCAACGAATGAAATCTGATGACCGCAACTGCTACTCTTACCTTCACTTTTAATTTTTTTTTTCCTAGGACTCTGACAGAAGCTCTTCTTCCCATGTTGAGGTAGACTTAGATCTAACTAGTACTGAGTACTGACAAGAACCAACCGACAGTTTGTATCTTACAATGTGCACATGTTAGAGAAGAGAACCATCTGTATGCATACAGTATGTATGTGTATATATATGTATATACACTCACACTGTTCAAATGCAAGTGGATGGCGAGCCTTAATAGAAAAGGAATAATTATTGAGCTTCACAAGAGCATTTTGTGGAAAGCACCGTAGTGAAATCCCTATCTGACATCATTATGCAGATACTGATCGCCACATATCATGCTTTACACCAACAAACAGACATAACTTATTGGTTTATTTAAGCTGGAAAAGAGCATATAATATAAACAATGTGTCTGATTATGGTTAGCACGTAACCACTATTCGTTGGTCCTGTTAATTGGCTATCAATTTGCTTTATAGTCCATTTGGACGGCTACTATAAAACCCTTAAAAAATATAATCAACTTCCAATTGCTTAAACTTGCGTTGTTAAGAATCATTGAATCTGCCATGTTAAACAAAAAAGTCTGCATAAGTAATGCAGCTAAAGTAGGTTATTTACCACAGGTAACTAGTCACTAGCTGAACTTTGATATATTATGATGTTGATGCTGACTTGCCATCGAATCAATGGAATTGCTAAACTAACAATTCATCTTGATGATGTGGCTTTGTTCTTATTTTGATTTCTTTGTAAGGATATTTATTTAATGTTTCGTTGAAAGCAACACATGTAGGCTATGCTGATGTTGGTTGTCTCAAGCAATCAGCATTCAGGAAAGCACCATCCAAGAAGAAGAATTCACCTTTCCCTCTCTTTTTCCTCTTTGGAATCTCAAAGTCGTGAAACATGAGGATTCCACTTCCGTTAATTTATGGGTTAAGATGTGGCGAGTCGACGAAGCGAAGGGACATTGCAGAAGAAGAAAAAGATGAGTTCTCAAAGATTCTGCATGTGGCCCCAGAGCCCATTAAATCAACTCTATTGAAAAGTCAGATTACATATAGCTATCATGGACCCTTTGCTAAAAAACCAGTATACTGCCATAAGATAAAATAAGCTGAAATAGCTGAGGCAACTTGCTTTTGATTAACGGAATATATGTTAAAATAGAGCTGGACAGTGCAGCAAGGAATCTTATAAGAGAGCAAAGAGAAACAATAAACATTCAATAAAACTTTGTGGCTAGTTTTTTTAAATCCAAAGTTTTCACTTTCACTGATCTTTGAAAATGTCCGTTCTGTAGAAATAGTGGCCTTTCTTTTTTTACTTGACAATTATGTTTACACGGTTGACTTTAGGATGCCTGCGTTGATAGAGCACGCGCATAGCTAGCCTTGAGGATTATTATAACTAGAGGTGTGTCACAACTAAGAGGAGAAGAAACTCTCTCATATTCAGAATCTGTAAAAGGATCTTATCCAGAGAAAAGTCCCCAACTTTCCTTAACAACATCATTCTTGGCTTTGGTTCACTGCATAGAAACTTGGTATCAAGGGTCTTCATAAAAGTGAGGTACTTCCTCTACCTCTTTCATTTCTTGATTTATATCAACCAAGTACCAACTGCTTTATGTGCTAAGTTCTCTGTGCCCTTTCTCGGCTTTTGAAATCCTGTAATGTAAGACTCAATAAAAATATTGATGCTATGTACTTATGATCACACTAGTTTGCTTATTGCACCTTTGTGTTAGTTTGCCGTAGAACAGCAGTAAGTTTCTGCCTCTGATCCATCTGTGATTGCAGTTGACAAGACAATTTTAGTTGAAGCCATGGTTCTGCGGCTTCATCGTATCGGATTCTTGGATACGAGCAATTACAATTACTCCTGGAAGTCCCTCTTTTTATTTTTCATCTTTACAGTTCCATGGTGTTCTGGCTCGTGACACTTTTTTGCAATTTGGATTTAATAGGTTGTACTAAATACAAATATTAAACGAGATCAGAATGGAAGATGGTGCCTTCAGGACAAATTCAATATTCAGGACCTCCTCAGACACTTTCATGGACTTGAATGTCACGGATGAATTCTTGGTTCAAGGATATTGGTGGGAGAGCACTGCTGGAGTCAACTTTCTGGAGCCTGAACCTTCCACCGCGAATGTTCTGTGTAACCCTTCACAATATGTGCCTTTTATGGGTTCTGGTCATTTGAGTATAAACTCACACCATCTGACCGATCAAGAAGAAGCAGACACCTCCCTTGAAAACCCACCTGTAGTTTATCGTGAAACCGAGGAACATGTAGTTGAGACCATCACATCTCCAGTACACTCTGAAGGTTCTCAACTTGAAAGTGGTGCATTCGTCCCAGAATTCTGTGAATCATGGGAGTGTCCGAAACAAGAACCTGAGGAAGAAGAGATGTTCCAAGAGACAACTGACTGGGATAACAATGATTTAGACCAGTACCAAGAGCAGGAATTTTCAGACTTTGGCCAGCTTCAACAAAATCCTGAACACTGTACTGTTGAAAGTGGCAGAGACTCTTATGTTCCTTGGAGTCAATTAGTAGGCAGCCGAAAATCAGGCAAGAAGAAGACCAAGACAGAGAAGACAATCAGCCTACAAGTTCTTCGAAAATACTTTGCCGGGAGCCTTAAAGATGCTGCTAAGAGTATAGGTGGTACGAAAACATGCCATTACAATTGGATCTCATTTTCTTTTCTATTTTTTTATTTTTAATTTAAGGTTAATTTCTCAAGGAGGCGCTATAGCCCAGCAGACCAGTAAGTGTTTACCCAGTTTGTTTCGCTTTAGCTTAGTGAACAAACAAGGGCTTACACAGTTTATTTCAATTGCAGTTTGCCCCACCACTCTGAAAAGGATATGCAGGCAATATGGTATCAACCGTTGGCCTTCTCGAAAAATCAAGAAGGTTAACCACTCTTTGAGGAAACTCCAACTTGTAGTTGACTCTGTCATGGGAGCTCAAGGTCTCATTGAAATTGATTCCTTTTATACTGCCTTCCCAGAATTGAACTCCCCTAACGATTCTGGGCATAATCCTTTTTCATCATTCAAGATAGCTGACTATCCCAAGGAATCAAACCCAAAACCAAAAAGTCAAATGTTCAGCCCTAAAGGGCCTGATTCAAAATCCCGGTCCTCTTCGATCAGTCAGAATTCTGGTTTGAGCATCTGTCATGGCAAAAAGCAGTCCACCAGCACCATCGATGGCTTGAGCACCGTACATGCTTTAGTTGTAGAAGACCCTGTTGAGGTGCTGAAGAGAACTTGCGGTAAAGCAGAATTACATTCCTTGAATCAGGAGGAACTTGCTAGAGCCAAAAGCCATGAGACATTAGGCCAGCATCAAAATCTGGAGACACAACCACCCCTACCAATAAGGAATAGCCAGAGTTTACAAGATGGAGGCGCCCTCAGAATTAAAGCCACTTTCGGATATGAAAACATCCGTTTCAGCTTGCAACCAAATTGGGGTTTCATGGACTTGCAACGAGAGATTGCAAAGCGTTTTGATATAGATGATTTCAGCAAAATTGGTCTCAAGTATTTGGACAATGATCACGAGTCAGTTCTTTTGACTTGTGATGCTGATCTTGAGGAGTGTAAAGATTTGCTTGACTGTTCTCAAAGTCGCACCATCAAAATAACCCTCTATGTGGTTTCCAAACCAAATCTAGGAAGTTCATCCAGAAGCAGCAGAGACTTGTTCTAATGTCATGGCCAGTTTCTGATTCACTTTTCGTTTGCTTGAACAAGAATTAGACATATTTTGTATGCTATAGAGTTGGCAGCTTTTTTAATGTTGGGAGATTTTGCTAGGGTTCCTTTCATTTTCATGTTAGCATAATTAAAAGTCATTAGTCTCTTCTACAGATCAATGACTTCAAGAGAGTTATTAAGGAAGATAATAAGAAACATACAGCCATCATTCGACCAAAATCAGTGGGTCAATGGCTGCATATTATATTATGTAATTACATCTGTAGATTGAATTTTCATTAGTGAAATCGATTATAGACTTGGAGTGTATCAAAAGCGATAAAAGAAGAAGCTTTGCAAATGCTATGATGACTGCCATTTTCGATCATGGCCTTTGTATCACCAGCTTCATATCTTGAGTGACATACCGTCATCGTTTCTAAGTTCAGGCATTACTAGACTCTACTCTATTATTATACATAATGGGAACATGAGGTCTCTGCATCATGGAAGTAAAAAAGAAAGTTTAAAATGAAAACAGATCAGCTCTTAATTCAAAGGTTGTCAGGGCACAACCCATTAATACCATTACTTATCAAAGGGGGAAAAAAAATCTAAACCTGTGACATTGTGCTGTCGAATGCAATCTAGCTATCAGCAGGGAAGAAGAATGGGTTGCTTCTTTTCGAGGACAATTATTTAAATCGTTGTAAAGATGAAGCTGTCATCAGTGGATTTAATAACTATATATAAGCATAAAAAGCATTCTTGTGAGAAATCAAACTCATACAATTATAAGCCAAATCATATTAAAAATTTAGGAAAAAGAAAATGACAAACAACAAAAACAAGTCCAACCAATGCTTCCAAGTGTGGTGGTTTGATGTTACATTTCCAAAGCACCACTCGACCAAGGTTCAAGCATTAGTACCAACAACAACAAAAAGCAAACAAACCTATCAAAAACAAACAGTTCACTCCATGTTCTTCCTTCTGAAAACCATCAGAAACAAAACATTTTCATCGTCTCCTTATAGCGATAAAACACGATAAAGCAGCCATGATCATTGTCGTGGCAATGGAACTTACACCATCAAACACATTTGCAAAGCGCATTTCTTGCAGATCCCAAAGAGTAGAAACACATAGACATACCCCTTCAAAGACATCTTGTAAGATAGCCATAGCTCTCTTATATGTATGTGTGTGTGTTAATGAAAATTAAAACTAACAAATCAATGCCTTCTATATACAGTACAGTATAGAGAGGAAGGTGCAAAAATAAGTTAAAAGCACGTAAATATGTAAATTCATAAATGGAAACTGGAAAGTGAACTTATTGTAGCATTGGTTGAAAAATTTTAGTGTTGGATTATTGCTGCTTCATGGGAATGGTCGCTGCTTCCAGGATGCTTCCTTGTTATTTCATGCTGATTCTGTAGCACGTACGAATCTCTGGAATTGCTGGCACTTGAAGCAACTTACTAGCCCACTGACGGAATTTCCAGGTCGAAAATTAAAGGGCCTTAAATGGGCTTGGAAATATGATTCGATGATGCATTAGGCCACATAATGGGCTGTATGCCCTCGTTTAGACTCAACTGATGTTGTTGTCCAACTCACTTAAAAAAAAAAAAACTCTAATTTTTAATATTTCACAAGAAAAAAATGACGCAGAACGAAAAAAAGTCGGGCCAATCACATGACACCACGTATTGGTCGGTCCACTAATCGGACAACTAAGAGCCCATGCAAAGGTAAACAAACCATATCCTTCGTCTGCTCCCAAAGCGTAAACTTCTTTCGATCTCTACGCGTGCACCTACTTCTCCAGTGGCACCCTTGTTCCTGCAGCTTACCACTATAAATGGTTCTATTTGACCAATCTCCTTCATATCGCGTGGACATAACAAAAAGCCAAATCCTTTAAACTACTCCATAACGTAATCGTATTGTTACATTCCATTCTGTCTCTCTCCGTTTCACCTCTAGCGCGTGCGTTCACCTCACCAATAACATCTTCTCACCGTAGAAACACTATTGCAATTGGTTCAAATTGACCACACTCACTCATAGCGCGTGGCATAATTATAATCATCTGGCGTTTCGATTTTTAAAAGAAATAGGGAGGGAATTGGATTTCAATAAATTCAATCATTGAAAGGGAAAATAATAGTAATTAAGAAAAAACAGCTAATACTTACTGTCTGTTCCTTTATTTTCTGTGTTTTGTACCAACAAATTACAAATCCTTCTTTTCTTCCCCTAGCTTCAATTCCAAACCCTAATTTTTCGAGTTCTTGACCGAAAAAGATGGGATTATGGGAAGCTTTTCTCAATTGGCTACGAAGGTAATCTGTTTATCTTTGTATTTCTGTTTGGATGCTGAGAAAGTTTGGATCTTTTCTTTTGTTGTTTTTTAAAAAAAATTTTTTTTTTACAGAGATTGATAATCAGAGAATTGGGACTTAAATTGACTATTTGTGTTTTGATTTTAATTGAGAGTTTTAGTGTTAAATTAACCCATTTATGAAAAGCTCAAATTATTGTTTTGTGTAATTTAATTGGGCAAACTAATGGCGATTTTTGCGAAATTTGGAATTCTTAGTTAATTTATTTGAATGGAGTATGTGGAATTCGTTTTAAGAATTGGTTGGTAGGTGATATATTTGGTTGGTTGTAAATGGGTTATCTGGTTATATGAATCACACGATGCTTTAGATGGAATGCTTAATTTTCAACACCTGGAATTAGTTTTAATTGGTTTTTTTGGTATGCTTGAGGGCAAGAGGGGAACCCGTGGAGGAATTGTAAGTCGTGTGTGGTATTGCAGTCTTGGTAGTGGTTGCAGCAGTGGGGGCGATTGGGAAGGTAGGAAGGCGATGCTGTTCATGTAATTGGCATATCAACAATTATTAGTTGGGATGTGTTGATATTATGGTGGTTTCAATGGCGAGACAGCGGTGATGATGTTGAGAATAATGCCAGTGAGATAGTATGAATGCACAACATAGGCTAATTAGGTTATTCTGAGCATAGAAGTCTTCAATTTAGCTTCTATGAAGCTCCGTCAACTTAATACATGGATTTTTGAATTGGAGCAGCATCCCTTTTGAAGGAAGCATACAACAGCATCCATTGCCATTGTCCTTAGATTTTTTTTTTTTTTTTTTTTTTTGAAATTTGAAGCTGTTTTGATTTGGTTCTGCTGAATTCTAGATATGATGTTTCATTAGCAGGGTGAAAAAGGGAATCACGGTGTTAGGTAGCATGTTGGGCAGCTCTGTCATTCAACGTCTTGTTTGTTCCATATTTTTTTTAGTCTTTTTTATTCTTCTTTCTGATTTTCCATGTGGCCAAAGATGAGTGGCAAAAGTTTTGTTTGTATTTAACAGATTACTGATTTTTAAGATAATCAGAAAGGTTTTGATGCTCAAGTCGTGTGCCTTGCCTTTTGAAAGTCATTTATTTTGCAGCTGTTGCTGTGAAAAAATATTCTGTGAGAAGATTAAACCTTGTTATTTCCCCTGGCCTTTTCACTTTTTATTCTTTTTGGATGGGTTTAAAGGTTTCTATGTGCGAAAAGTTAACTTCTGAAATGCCTTATGCATTAAGGTAGATCGTTTATTTGTATTTGAGTGTCTGTAACTCCACTATTGAGATGGATGGCATGGATTTTCGTTCTTGGAAAGGGAGTTTCTTATTTTTAATTGCCAGCCTGTCTGGGTTGAAATGATCACAGTTACCCTTGCTATTCATCTTTTCCGTTGGTATCTAACCTGGAAAGACTTTTACACATGATAGAATCTCTGTTTTTAACCTGTTTTCTTTAATGATTGTAGTCTCTTTTTTAAGCAAGAAATGGAGCTGTCTCTGATAGGACTTCAGAATGCTGGGAAAACTTCTCTTGTAAATGTTGTTGCAGTAAGTAAAAGTTCTTTTGAGGGGTGTGATATATATTTATTAGTTTCTCACTTCTCCTTTGGTTTGGATGCTGATGGCTGTATTTTTTGTCTCTGGCTGTTGATTCTAGACTGGTGGATACAGCGAAGACATGATCCCAACGGTATGCCATTATCTCAAAAATTGCCATTCTATTATGAGGGAAATTTACCTGAGAAGTTCTCATTCAGATTGCAAACTTTTTATATCAAGATTACATCAATCCTATTAACATTTAAGTCACCTCTTTTACCTTCAGGTTGGATTTAATATGAGGAAGGTTACAAAAGGCAATGTCACAATAAAGCTGTGGGACCTTGGAGGTCAACCAAGGTTCCGCAGTATGTGGGAGAGATATTGTCGTGCAGTTTCAGCTATTGTGTATGTCTCACACTTTTTAATATTCTCATAACACTATGTTAGAACTTGGAAGATTCTCGTTATATTAGTTTTAAACATGGTCATTGCTTATTATCTACAGAGCACGCTTTGTCCTTTATTTTATCCTTTTGTTTGTTTTCCTTTATGAAAAAAAAAAAAAGAACATGTGTTTGCTTGTCTTTTAGTGGATATAGAAATTGTTGGGCATGGTTTTCTGCGATTTCCTTTGAAGTGCTTTTATAGTGTCAATCCAATGATTTTGGATTAGTAGAAGATCCTGTTGCAGTGCCCTGAACAGAGGAGTTGCATTTCCCCTTTGGCTCTACATTTACATTATGATTTTTTGTTTTATCTGTTGCATATGCACCTCTGTATTTCAAAGCTAAGCATGGGGAGTACAATGTACCATTTTAGTTTTTGGGTGCTGTAAACTAGTTAAAATAGTGACTCATCATATTGTTGCACATGGGGTAAAGATTTGTTTATGGATTTGATGTCTTAAGCTATCCTGTCTGGTAAAAGAGCTCAATCATTCAGATTATTTGTTTTCTGACTTTTCATGCAGATATGTCGTGGATGCTGCTGATTATGATAATTTATCTGTCTCAAGAAGTGAACTTCATGATCTTTTGAGTAAACCCTCACTGAGTGGTATCCCTTTGTTGGTACTTGGAAATAAGATTGACAAACCAGGAGCCTTGTCTAAGGAGGATTTTATGGAACAAATGTAAGTTTCAACTAGACATCTGAAGATGCATTTAGGAGGCTTGTCAAACGTTTTTGTATTATCAGATTTCAGAGCATTTTATGGCAAGGGTTCTGTTATTCTGTGCAGGGGGCTTAAGTCCATCACCGACAGAGAAGTATGCTGCTACATGATCTCATGCAAGAACTCAACCAACATTGATACAGTTATTGACTGGCTTGTAAAACATTCAAAATCGAAGAATTGAGCATCAGTTCCTGTACCTTTCCGCTGTCGTGTTCATGACTTTGAGTTGCACAATTTCAGTTTAGTTAAAACTTCGTCTGCTGTGTCTAACTGGGTTATCAAAGGCTGACCATTGTCTTTATTTTCTCCTTATGACTTTAGTCATGGCATGTATCATTTGAGTTCACATCCAAGTTTTATTGACTCAATAGTATTGTTGTCTGGTTGCATACTGGTTTGATTTTTATGTACAAATATTAATGAATTGGTGTGATTTCCGAATGCAAACTTGCTACACAGTGGTTTTGAATGAGATAATGGTTTTTGCTTATATTGTCAGTTTCTATTTCATTGAGATGCTTGTACTTGGTAGGGTTAAGCCTTAAGCTGGTGGCTGTATTTTCATGTGGAATGGTACATGTATGGTGCACCTGTGGTTAACACCTATTCTAATATTTTTGGTTGTGGTCTAAGCGGTAACTCCTAGGCCTCACTACAAGTTGGAAGGACTCGTAAAAACGTATGATTGTAAAGAACGCATGCCACAAATAACAAATCTATACTTAGGGCAGTTGATTTCACCTAGCTGAGGGGAAATCTCTCTTTGCTTTCGACCAATCTGATGTAAGAACTCTTAAGTTCAGATTTTAATCTCCCATCCTCATGATTCCGGTGAAAGAAAAGGAATAGCAGCAAGGATTTGAGCTTGTATTAACACAGTATCATAGTCCTTGGAAGAATTGCCATACCTCGTTCGGATAGCAAAGGACAGGTTACCATCATAAATTCTTATTTTAAACCATCCATGAATTCTAAATTTTATGTAAGTAGGATTTACTTATTAAAGTAGATTAGCTTAGGCCTTAGGCCTCCGATGTCTGTGGGCCGGTGCTGTAAAGGCTAGAACCCCTGATTATATAGTCTGGTCCGTACGTACTAAATATCCAACGATTTTGTTTATTAAGAACAAATTAACTTAGAACTGTAAAAAACTGTAGCATTCGTAAATGTACCAAAAACACCTGATGACCGATGTTGTTTCCCATAACAAAACCAACCAACGAACCAAATTAGAAACCAACTACTGTCTTATCTTTTGGCTTTTTTGAGTTTTGACCTCGGTCAAACGCACACTTATCATGGTCTGTTGGTTTGCCTAGAAAACCGAGGAAAAGTGAAGCGAAAACGTCTTCTAGAATTCTCTTCTCATTTTCTTTTCCTTTCCCACTGTTTTCCCGGCACCTGAATGGAGCATCAACACTGACATCTCCCACGGAATGTATTCAAGCTAGGTATGCCTGTATCGTAATTACTAACCATCTACTCTCTCTCTTGCTCAATGATTGTGGAGTATGATTGAGTAGACAAATTAAAGGTATGGGAAGTGAAAACTTGTAGTGATAATTTGTGGGTTTTCGTTATTTTTGTTAGTTATGTGGATTTTATGTGTGTTGGTGGTTGTTTTGTTAGTTGAGATAAATACTACGCGAGGCTTCTGGGTTGCAGCTTTTGCCATGCATGGTTGCAATCACTCTTTTTTCAGTTTTTTTTTTTAATTTGGTGTCAGATTCTTCTCTATGTAAGCCATTTATATAATCATTCTTTTAAGGGTAAACAATATGGGGGATTTCAAGAGTTATAGAATTGGGTTAGATGCTTGGTTGCATATTCTTGTGTGTTATTTATTTCCGTTTTTTTTTTTATACCTCATGTCGTGGCTGTATGCTGTGGAGATTATATATTTATTGTTTTTCATTTCACGCACTGGATATTGTAGTTTATCTGACTTTATGACTGATGATTGTGTTGCCATTTGTACTCTAGCATTGCTTTTTGATAGCACATCCAATTGAGCCTGTAAAAATAAAAGTAGATTGGCATGCTTTATGAAGTTCCATCAACTTCATTACTGTCTGTGTTTTGACAGAAGGGGTGGACAAAGTTGAGGGCCTCTTGCACCTCATCAGGTTGCAGAAGATGTTCATTTATGAAGCCTAAATTTATATCTTGTTGCTCTTAGGTAGTGTTCTGTACATTTTTGTTATCTGTGCAGTCCATTCCTTGTCATATTTTGGTGACCTGTAGCAAATTAGATACTTGTCAATGATTTTATTTTTCTGCAGTCATTTACCAATCAAATTGTTTGCTGTGGAGCTTCTCATCTAAAATGATTTTGTCACCTCACCATGAATACTCTGCTGTAACATAATGTCTCTGGTTTGTTCTTGCATGCTCATCTCCGAAGTCAACTCCATTTATCTATTCTCTGTGAGTTTTGTTGGGATTTAATTCTCTGCAATTGTTTAAATATTCTGCAAACTTTGTTGAAAAAAAAAAGGTTCTCGTTGGATTCTGTCATGAATTGGGGCATTCCAACAATAGAACTCAGGACCTCTCACACCCAAAGTGAGAATCATACCACTTGACTAAAATCCCTCTGTGATCTAGGAAAGCCAAACCTACATGGTGGTTGAATTCCTGAAACAAGAAAATGGCCCATTTTACACTGGAATCGGTTGCTCTTCACCTGGAAAATTTATCTCATTCCCATTGAATTCTCTAAAAAATGTTTTCTCATTCCCTAACCTAATCAGGTACATTCTTGAGTATTCTTAAACCATGATTTGTATCACTGAAGGTTCTTCATAAAATTTTCTTTTCCTTGTAAACTATGACATTAAATAGAATGGTGCAAAAATAGAAAAAATCATGGTGATAAATGTGTTGATGGCAAGCATATAGATCTCTAACAGTATAATGTACATAATAACGTTTTAGTTACGTGGCCAGACTGAGCTGACTGTACTTATGGAAGAAAGCCAATCACTAAGCTGATATGCCCAACAGACTGAACCTTTTGATGTTTAGCTATACAAGTTGACTTTCCAAAATCTTTCCCATGGTCTTCCATCAACTCTTGCATTAATGCTAGGCTTGGGTATATTTCTGTTCTCTTATTTTTGTCATGTCAATTGAGTTACTGTACTTGTTGAATGAAATTGATACTTACACCAGTTAGCAGGTTCAGGTAAATGACTTTTCTCCAATGGCTGAAGCTAGTGACAGGTGCAAACCTAGCTTGCATACCTTGATTTCGGCAAAGTCTGCTTATTTATTGATCAGTTTGTTGGTAATGAATCTTACCAGAAAAGAAATGCATCTGAATTTGCTTTAAGATATTATGTTTTACTGTTAGAGTTGACTATAGGTTCCTTGCTAAAAATTTTGAAACTGGATGAGAACTAAAGTAAAAACTATATGGATTTTCAACTTCCTGGGAACCTAAAATTTGCATTAATCATTAAATTCCTAAATCCATGAGGTCATCAATCAGTTGAAACTTGTCTAAATTTAGTATTCAATGAGTTCATCAGGCTTGATGCAGGCATATTTCTGGCTTCTACACCTTGCTAACATCTGCTGATTTAATGATATCCAATTCTTTGAGGCAGAATCTCGTCAGGAAACTAACATATCTGAATAGCAAAATTTAATATCGTAGTTTTGCAGTTTGACCTTAGGCTGAATATTCTGATCTACAAGTTAAAGCTGTCATGTGAAAAATGGGGCATTCCGAGAATCGAACTCGGGACCTCTCGCACCCAAAGCGAGAATCATACCACTAGACCAAATGCCCTGTTGGTGGTATTTATTATGTGCTATTTGTGTTAATGCTCGTACAGCTGTTAAGTTTGAAGGTTTACAGCACAGTTTTTCCCAGGAAGATCTATTAGCCAAGGCATTTCAAGATATGACAGTCTTCTTATTGGTTTTAGGACTTCTTTTCTAGCAAAAAGAGGCAGAAAGAGCAATCATTTTAGTTTCAAGTCTAATGCTATTTTTTGTGTAGTTTCTACTAGTTCTTTATTGCACTTACGGTTGGGAACCCAGAGTGAACACTGGACTCTAGATGGCTGTCCACCCATATAATGAAGTCTGCTGTGTATTCTTCTCAAGTTATTGATAAAAAAATGTTCTTAGGAAAGATGTGGGTTCAGTGAAAGTATTGATTTGAGCAGTGGGTAATTAATATACTAGTACAACAGTGCCTTTTTGCTCTTTCTAGTCAAATCCTACCTGCTGTAAAAATTTAATTTCCTTTCTGATTTAGCTAATTTAATTTTGCAGCTTGTATCCTTGGAATTTTATCTCCGTGTTGGCTGCTACAGTCTTTGACTAGATGTTCCTTTCTGGTGTTATTAAAGGCTGCAAGAAGTAATAGACCAGTCATATTCTGGTGAGGTGTTCTTCTCATTAGGGTAACAAATTCACATCACTGTTATTTTTCTATTCTCTAATTTTAGTTCTTTACCTGTTGATTGAGTACTAGAACTTTCTCTCACAATGCTTTCATACACATGGCAGGGTTGAGGTGCATGGTTTTGTTTAATTGCTTAGGCCACAGGCACATATCTAGATTTCTAGCCTTGATTTTGCAACCGACTGTTTTTTACTTGTCAATTCCATGATGTAGGATCTTGTCTGAAAGACACGCATATTGCATGTGTTCTCTGAAATTGTCTTATTGTCTTGAAGTTGACTTTGACTAGATTATAGGGCCAGGTCCTGTTTTCTTAACAATAATATAAGAAACCTACCAAAAACTAGAGAGGGGGGGGGACTGAAATTATATGACTACGGAATTCTTAAAATCTGACTGGAAAAATTTTGGGGCATTCCGAGAATCGAACTCGGGACCTCTCGCACCCAAAGCGAGAATCATACCACTAGACCAAATGCCCATTTCTTGATGTTTATTTTATTTAACTTCTAATTAAATGTCTTCATCTCCTATTGCTCTTGGTAATTTTAAAAAGAATTATAGCCACTCTAGTGGATCAAACATTTCCCATTGTCAGGCTTTTGGGCAGTTCTTAGTTCTCTAGTGGATGGGATGCAAAAACCTTTATGGTAATCCTCTAGAGAGAGTTCTTTTGCTTTGCCCCAATTGCAAGAAACAAAAGCCTGACTCGATATACGTCCACACACCCATATGTTTATTATGTTAACGGAAAATGCTTT